GAATCAAGTAGTGCGGAGACATCTTCAGCACACTCACTCTCAGTTGTGGATCAAGAGCCAAGGCTCCATCTTTCAGAAACGCCTTCAGAGCTCGCATCCAGGGCACACGTTCTTGTTCAGCCACGAACTTGTCATAGTCCAGCCCAAACACGTCAATCGGTGATGAGTTCGCCTGTAGAGCCCTCTCTTGCGAGTCTTCTCCCTGCTCCGCTTGCGTGAGAGGCTCGACAGCCACGGACGCATCCTTAGTCTGTTGATTACTCCTCTCAGTCTCTCCGTTAGGATCCGTAGTCTCGGCAGACTCCCCGACTGGGATTGGAACGTCGGTGGCGTACCTACCCAGCGTTCCGTTTAAGACTTGCGTTCCAGATTGAGTCTGCACTTCGTCTGAAATCGGCACCTGCAAGCCAGGAGTCTCTTCCTCACTGTCGTTGAGAAGATCCTCCATCCGGATGGCGCTAACAAAACCAGCGTCTGGGCGGTGATACAGTCTTGACATATCATCAGCGTGTCCCATCGACGTTCCAGGCTTGTGGTATATCTTAAACTGCAGCTGCGACAGCTCCATGGCCCAGCGTGCCAACTTGGCGTTCGACATTCTTGTTGTCTCGCCGAAGATCCACGTGAGAGCTTGATGGTCTGTGTACAGATCGAATTCCGCGTGACTCGATAACACCGGAACTTGCGTGTTGACCATACGATTCCCCAGCACTCAACTTTTGTCGCTCCACTTGTCTTGTTAACCCAGTTCCGCTGCGATCCAACCAGAATCTTACTCGCGTACGCGATCGTCCTGTCTCTCTTGTTGACTTCTTGCATCAGACATGCCCCTGCCGCTAAGTGTGACGAATCCACGTAGAGCTTGAACCTTTTCTTGAAGTCTGGATACACCAGTATCGGTGGTTTCACTAGTGCTCGTTGTAGTTGTCGGAACGCGCCCTCGCAGTCGTCATTCCATCTGAAATCGACGTCCTTCTGCTTGAAGCGTTCCAGCGGCGCAGAAATCGCAGCGAATCCCGGTGTGTAGCGTCGAAAGTAGCTGTACATCTAATAGCACGTGCCGGTCCAGCCAGAACTTTGTGCGTTCCAACTGTCCCGTTACCGTTCATTGAGACGGTCCTGCACTATTGTCACGCAGACATCTTCTCTGCACACTTAGGGAGAACGAAGACGACGGACAAAGTGAGACGCCACGCGTATTGGCGTGGGTGGAGGAAGGACGTGATCGAGTACGTACGCGAATGCTCTATCGGGAAGGGGCATATAGCCTGGAGGGCTGGACTGATGCAGCGGATGCCTGTTCAAGACTCGTCTGTCCCGTTCTCGCTACTCGTAGACGACGCAATTGGACCATTGGTCGTCACTCCTCATGGAAACAAGTACATCCTAGTGTTTGTGGACTATTTCACAAGATGGGTCGAGGCATTCGCGGTCGCTTCGTTGGACACGATCTCGTTTGTGAGCGCAATGATAGAGGGCGTTATCTGCCGACATGGAGTACCGGAACGTCTACTAAGTGATCGTGGGTCCAACTTCACGTCTAATCTGGCCAAGTCACTGTATCAGACGTTGGGGATCAAGAAGTTGCTCGGAGCGGCGTACCACCCGCAGACACAAGGTATGGTGGAACGTTTCAACGGAACGGTGATGGGTATGCTACTTATGTTTGTGACCGAGACGCAGACGGATTGGGACGTGTACCTGCCAAGGGTCCTATTTGCGTACCGGACGGCATATCACGAAGGCCTCGGTGACACCCCGTTCTTTAGTCTGTACGGACGTGATCATGTGCTACCTATCGACTTGGCGTTCCTAGACACGGGAGGGGACTGGAAAAGTAACGAAGTTGCGACGTACCGCCGAAAATTGTATCGCTCGTTGCGTGGCTCTCGTCGTCTTGTGGAACGACAGCTACTCAAGGCTTAGGATCGGCACGAGCAGAGGTTGAACAACCAAGTGAAGGTGACATATGCAAAGGAGACGCAGTCTGGGTGTACCAGTACTTTAGAGCCCGGGTGGGGGGACGCAGAGCGAAGGAGCTGGCGCTCTCCTGGCACGGCCCCTACCGTGTTGTTGGCCAAGTCGGGGAGAACGCCTACAGGATCGCGATCCCGACGCACCCAAACAAGGTCGTCACGGTGAACGTTAACCGTTTGAAGCGATTTCAAGGACGCTGGAGCCGACCCTACGCGGACGAGAAGCCTGATAGAGTCGAAGAAGGAGAGGATTAGGACAATACGGGTCCATTGAACGTCGAGGACTTGCCGTCGACGAGCTTTGTCGAACGTCTGTCGATTGGCGAAGAAGAAACTGCGTTCTCGGGAGTGTCGTCGCCGATAGTGGACGTGATCGCGAAGAGAGTCGAAAAGCGTGAGTTACAGTATCTAGTACTCACTGCCACGTATGAGACGTTCGGGTTGTCTCGAGCGGCGTTGGCGCCTGAGTTTGGAGCGATGATACGTGCATTGGAGGACGCAGATCGGAAGAAGAGAGGTCTGCCCGAGCTGCGTCGGAACGTCAGATTGGTCGAAGCCAATGCTGATGTCGACGACGCCGAGGTGTTGTTCTAGCTGGCAAGAACGCCGGTTGGAACGAGTGCGGTCGTGGGACTGCACGGAAGTGTTTGGGACTCGCTGCGTCTCAAGACACTGAGTGACGTGTACATATTTTCTATTTTGGAACGACATCGGGTTGTTCTTTGGGTTTTACGGAGTTGGATATTTTGGGAGCGTCAAGAGTCTATGAAGACAGAAGAGCATCAAGTTGGAACGCGAGGAAGTTTGTGATGAGTCAGATTGGAACAAGAAGAAGCATTTAAAGGGAGACTCATTGTAGATGGGAACGAGGAACCAACAGAGGAGAGACAAGACAAGACGGCGGGGAAACGACGGAACGTTACGGTTAAGTGTCAAAAGGAAAGAGAGTTTCCTAGTGTGAAGCGACTACGAGGAGCGCAAGCCGAAGGAACGTCGTCTGGAGCAAGTAACGCGAGTCAAACTGCGAGTGGAACGTCACGTGGGAACGTTACAGACCTGGCCGTAGACGACACCGTGCGACAGGCTCCGGACGATGTGGCTCGGCGAGGACACCGAGCGTCAGTCGGGGAGAATTGTCACGGTGTACAGCTAGATGCTGGAGTAACGATGCTGGCTGACTGCCTGCAGAAGGTCTACTCGCTCCAGACTCTCCGGATCACGTCCAAGCAAGCGGGACCTGTGGCCAAGTCAGTGACGCTCCAAGTGTGAGGTCGTGGAGCAGCTGGTCGTGGCGGGAATTGGATCTGGGCCGCCACATACGAGTTATCTGCTGAAAGGTAAGAAGCTTTAAAACTCTTAGCGAGGTGAAATGAGGAGGTCAGTCGTGGATTTCCTTCTAACAAACAACACAAGAATATATCAAGTTTTACATTACTATCCCAGTAGTGTCGCAATTGCTACTACCTCCTACGTCGGCCCAAGATACTCACGACCCCGTTTAGAGGAAGACCGCGATAGTGTAAGCGTGGACAACGTGTCCACCAATGATATGAACCTTCAAGTACAGTCCGAGCTGTCACTCACGCAGAAAAAGCTCAAATCATTGTCAGTGAAGTATTTTTTTCATACCAACAGTGCATCTCTCCTACTATCCTCTGATACCAGATTCATCGCGGAAGCTTGTAGACGAAACTAAAGGTGAAAACGAGTCTACAGGTACCGTACCAAGTAAACGGCTCGCTGTTGGAGCTGCTGCCCAAAGAAGCGGGTGGAAAGGCCAACCAAGAAGCAGTACGACATCAAGAACCCATCGGTTCTTTCGTTCTTTAAGCCAGTACGCACCAGCACCATAGCGACATCGAGCATGGGCTCAGCTCCTGGAACGTCACAAACCTGTTTACGTTCTCCTGTTGGTATAGATACTGGGCCGGCGGAAACCAAGGCCATCCGCCGCAAGTAGAAGTCGAAAACGCCTTCATAATTTTAGATGCATAATTACAGTTTTTTAGGCGTAGGATTGTTTTGTTGACCCTGGTCTTCGACTAGGCCATACGAGTACCGTAAAACTTATGTGCTCACCATTTACGAACTACCAATTAAAAATTTGTATTTGTGTACTCTGATGGCTGATTGGTTAGAAAATAGTCCAGGATAAATATGAACTGTCCGGATGCACATAAGGTTTACGGTATGATCAAATCCTGGCTACTCGTGGGGATATAGATTAAGAGCATCTATCAGCATTAAAATGTCGATACAAAATCTCTGTACATAATATAAGTGAACAAATTGGAGTTGTGTAAATCACGGAAACAGTTTTGGCTGAGAAAGAAAATATAATACATTTACATGAAAACGAAGAAAAATAGTTCGGATTGTATTAAAATTCAGTCACGCGCTCAAATAAGGGAAGAAAGTTCCTCCTGGGACAGTGCCGTCAAGCGTCACCAAACATTTCTCAACAAATCAAATGTGAACATACATGTACAGTACCTGAACCTTTTAGAGCAGCTTCAATCGAGACCACTTTTTACTCCTATTTAAGTCGCGGGGTGTACCATAATAATGGCTGTAAATAGTGTTGTAAAGACTGTCAAGCCTTTAAAAATGGCAGTACATTCCAATACTGCCGATACCTTAGGCTATTTGCTCCATCGCAGCATCCTACTTGACGGTTAAAAGGAATACTGTACGAAGAGATAATGAGATAATAGCAAAAAATTGTTTGCTGCTGGAAAGCATATTTATTGAGGGTGTGCTCCAAGTCTAAAGGGTTACTACCGAGGGGGTCTCTATATACGTTTAGGGTGGACCAGGGTGAAGGAATGCAGTGACTGCATTCGGTCACCCCGCTTCAGCCCCGGAGTCTGGGGCATGTAACCACGCGCTGGTCTGCTTCTCAGTTGCCTTACAAGGGTCAAGGTACTGCCCTTGAAGGTAGCCTTAAAAATCTTCTACTTTCTGTCGAAGGCAGCAACGTCTCTACTAGAGACGTCGCTGTACCGCCGAAGCGCCGCATCCGTTATGCCGATCAAGATTAAAAGCACGCTGTCAAGGCACCTTGGCGCTCCACAGCGTACGACTATTGTCGCTGGAGATGCCGGTGGATTCCAACTTGGAAGTCGTCTGCCTTCTCGTTTTGAACGAACGCCGCCCTTTCTGCGGAACTGCAAATGTTTACGCAAAATAGACCTAACCTCGATGTTCGTGCTTGAGGCTTGCGGCTTTGGTGACTTGTTTTCAGTAAAGGATGAGATGCCGCGCAACAATTGGTCATTTTCCTTTGATTCCATTTGCTCGATTCTGCGTCATAATTAAATTGGAGCCGGCGGGACGAATAGCTAGGCAGCCGCGTCCCCCCCCCCTGAACAGTTGACCACCTCAGTGCGCCATAACTGCTGCCCCAGATTTGGAGCCTCTGGCAGACCCGCGACGACGGAGCGCCTTACAGAAGCAGCAGAGAGCATACCTTGGAAGCATGATTGTCGTATTCGGCAGCTCGAACGCCTTTGGACGCGACGTAAATGAGATGGAAATGATGGTGCTGGCCGGGACGGTCTTCGTGGTCTCGGTGCTTCTCGTGCTAGTCTACAAGCTGGCACGCGGCTGGGACGACCTGGACAAGGACGACTTCGGCGCCAGTGTGTTGCCGATGCATGCGCCTCGCGCAACGAACCGCTGGGTCTCCAGCCGCAAGACGCATTTTGGACGGCTCGGCACGATCCAGGAAAACGAGGTTTTCTCCTTCAGTTCCAAGATGCGATAAGCGGTGCCAATGTGGCAGTTGAATCAACAGACGCAACAGATACAGCAGCATCCACAGGCTCGAGAACAGGCGGAGTGTCCCCCCGGCGCACTCGGTTGAAGGGTGTGCGTACCCATGTAGATTTAGATGACAGACAGTATTTAAGCTTCATATCTAGACCGGACTCGTCTGGATGGAGTGGCCGACAGCGAGGGTTCGTCCCGCTGCCATAGATGTCATATTTATCAAGACGTTTCGATTACCCTTAATTGTCAAGCCTTCCGTTCCGCCATCGGTTGCTGTAGGCACTTGAGCTTGGTGTCGACGTGGTGCCCCCCCCCCCCCCCACCGCCGTTTTAGAGCGCACGTACGTACAACGCGCAGTATCCAGCGGCTACGCATCTGGTGCGGCATATGGAGCCTGGCAGCGCCATCGCCAGCATCAGCATCTTCGCAGCTCTTGAGCTTTCGTCGCCAATTGCGCTTTGCCATCTCGTTACTTCGTCAAAGAAAGGGCCATTCTTCATCAAATACTACTACAACAGTACAGTTGAACAGTACTACTGTAGTAGTTTTTAGTGAAATATTACCTCATTTTTCGTCCCTAATTGACATAAAGGAGCAAAACTTGGGTACTAACGTCACGCTACGCCACCTCGCGCCGGGAGCTTGAGCAGAGCGCGCAGACTTTCCTTGGGGTGCGACACGTCCCCGTAGCCCTTGAAAGCACTGTCGTGGTAGACTCTGAAAAGTTGCGCTTTCTTCATCTCGGCCTCTACGATCAACCGGTTTGCGGTTAGCATGGAGGCGTCCAAGAGGGTTAACTGCCGAGCATTGGCCATGCACAAGGCCGGGTAAGCTAAACATCCATGCTGTAAAAATTTTAAAAAATGCGGCAAACCTGCTCTGTTGTTGATCCCAGTTGCTGCAGCACCGAGCGCTGGAGGTTCTCGACGTTCTGCGATATCTTCAACTTGCATGGCAGAACCTCCTGCTCAGCTTCGGCAATTACTTCACTGCCTTGTTCCGTGGCTGCGGTCTCAAGGACTGCACTACTGCTGTTGCTTGCTGTCCTGTCTGCCGCTAGCCTTGCCTTCAACTCTAGCCATTTCTTCTCTTCCGCTTCCAGGCTGCAGAAAGAAGCGATAAGCGTGAATAGCAATCACAGGACGCCATCAGGACGTAGATCTACCTCTTGATCTGCTGCTCGTACGTCTCGATCGTTGCCCGCATGCGGGCGTTTTCGGGGTTCGGAACTTTGATCTGTATGAAAGGTAATAATGTTAATATGTTGATAATACTCATAACAATGCAAATCGTACCGCGACGTTTCCTGGCGGGTGCTCGTCCATGAATGAAATTAGCTCCTGCTTCATGGCCTGCACACTAGTCTCACTAAGCTGCATGATGTCCCGGCGCGCTGCTGAGGTGAGGAACTCCTTTCTAACTTTTCGGAGTTCGCGTTTGACTTGACGCTGCACCATGTAATAGAGTGAGACCTGATCGGTGGACAGCTTCATGTGCTTCATCTCCTCCTCATTCAGCGCCTCGCGCGTCGCCTCCTCGCGCTTTTTATACCTAACCAATCGCCGCTTCTCGGCCCTTGCCACCTTCTCCTGCTTGGATCGCAGCGCTGCGGATACGGCAGCCGCGTCCACGGCGTGCAGTTTACCGATATCCTTCTCATCGTCTTTCCGTAAGCGAAAGACGAATGTGTTGTCCTTGGCGGGTGTGCCAGGTTTCCTCTTTCCTACAGGTGTGGCCTCTGCAGGCCCCTCGTTATTGACCTCACATTTCTTGTCGCTGAACGTAAAGCCTCGCCGCGGCCTCCGTTCGGGGTCGCTGGGAGACAAGAAGACGAGAGAATTACGGTTAGTCAGAAGATCGTCCCATTATATACCCAATCATCGAAACAGCTAAAGTCGCACCTAGCGCCGGTGGATTTCCGACGCCTCCGCTTCTCACGTCGGACGACCAGCGACGCGGACGGCGCATCGGCGAAAGGCGTTGCCATCATAATGAAGCGCCGACTTTTCGCGCCTTCTTTTTGAATGTTCAAACCTCCCGATTGGTCAAAGGGGAGAAATTATACCTTTCGACGATTGGTAGAAAAGGCTTTTAGCTAAAAACGTAAGGATTATCTTATTTTTTATGGCTAACGTTAGAGCATTCCCACTCGTTGTGGCAAAAGCCCGACAAACGCTATTTTGACTCAGATTTTGAGCGTTTCACTTTTTTGGTCGCATTATAGCCAATAGGTTGACCTAAGATCGCAATTTGAACCACTCGTCGATTAGTTGTGGATTGCTATTGTGAATTCTGCCGTTTTGGTCCTCAGTGAGTCACTCAAATACAGTGTACAAATTTCCTGTTTTTTTCGCAGATCGTACTTAAGGAGTCGTATTTCGTACTTAGATGGATTTTGTCTCAAGGAAAGTCAATAACAGATTTGCGCTATTTCGTGCGCGTTCATTCATTTTGAGAAGAACGCACAATACCCCACCTCGCATCGGCAATTATGGACGGAATCGACAGTAAAGGCCTATAAGGATTATTTTAGGGGAGAAATTTGTGGTCCACAATAAAGTAGGTACTTCGTCTCTACAAATTTCAAAGAAAGTGCTCATATATTTTTATTTTCTCACACAAAAAAATTAAAAATTTGAACAGGTAAAAAGCAGCGTTAAAATGATATTTTTCAAAATCATTTTAGACAGATGTATTGAGCATAATCCTGCGCTCACCAACTTCACATGTTCGTGCATAATATTCGTACGATGTGCGCGTGCTCAAGCACGCTTCCTTCCTGTAGGGAGATATGCTCGAGTACTTTTGTTACCGTCGCTTTGAGCAAAAGATCGGCCAAGCAAAAAGCGATGCGCTTACAGAGGGCGTGTGTAGCGTGCTAAGCAAATGGAGCCACACTGATAATAAGAAGTGTAATGGGCCCCCCAATTACAAAAGTAGGTAGAAGAGGCACGCAGTTAGCATTGTTGCTCTCTTATTGGTTACAAAGTAAATGTTATAGCCAGTCAGGAGTCGACCTGCATACGAGTGGTTCTCAGAGGTACAGGGCTCCCGCCCTGTTTCAAATTAAATCAGAGTCTATTTTACTAAGAGTTAAGTCTATCTTGCTTGTGAGCTTCCTAGATGTCTCAAGTTGTGGTGTCCACCGGGATTGATTCAGCTTGGACCCCGCCGAGAGATCTTGCTCGTACTCGAGAATTAAGTTTTCAAATCCAGCACCTAATCCTGGGTACACTTCTGGTAATAGATCCTCCCCGATAACATAAGTAGGTAGCTTCTTTTACAAAAGTAGGTAGAAAAGGCACGCGGCTAGCTCGTGCTGCATTGTCGACCTGCATATGAGTGATTTTCAGATGTGGTGTTGGAATTCCCACATGAACTCTAGCTACAAATGTAGTTAGGACGTATCCGTCTGCTAGGATAGCAAACGATCGTTCGGGTGGACCTGAAGACCCCAATTCTTCCCTTGCACCGGGACAGACTGGGCCTTGTAAACTACTTTTTAGGCCAACCAGTAAAAATAAGAACACGCTACTAGCACGAACAAAGCTAATAGGTGTTATGAATCCTCGTGGTCCCAACAGCGGAAGAGCACCAGGCACGGGTAAGCCTTTTACGCGGGCACCGAGTGTTCAACACTCGGCTGGAAGAATAAAAGGGATGCAATTCAAGCACTCCTAGTCGTACAAATAGGCAGCAATAAGCCGTCGCGTAAATCCTCCCGGTAGTAATCGGCCAAAATACACAGTCTCTTGGTCTTGCCGGATGAACCCTCGCTACAGAGCTTCGAGTTCACCGACAGGTATAACACACTCAAACAAGCTTGACCAGACGCTTACCTTGAAGCCGGACGTCGCTCTGTGTGCTTGAGTGGAAATTCTGTTCTGTATTTATGTTTACCCTTTCGGGTCTATTCCTAATACAAGTCCTAATCAAGTTTACAAATATCAAGTGAACAATGATCCGTTATGGATCTTCTTGCACGCCAAACGTCGTTTGCACCGTCTCATGAGCATCTTTAACGGCTCGCACCTCGTCCCAGACGGTGAACGTGTCTTCAAAGGGTCGCTGAGGCTTCTGCGAACTCATCCCAACCGTCATAGAGGGTTCGTACCGTAGATGGTAGGTTCTTGGTCGCTGAATGCGAATCCGGTCAGTCCATTCTTAATAAAAAGGACAGCCTGGATTGAGTGACATCTGGACCGTATCCAATATCCGTTGAGAGTTTGGTAGTGATGCCGTCGAGTCTCTTGCACCTTGGAGTCACCGTACATCACGTGACCGAGGGTTCGTCGCTTGAACATCTTGGGCGGTGCCGCATCTTTGTCGACGGGCGATTATCCGCAACTCTGGAGAAATCACTACACCACAACCGCCCCTGTCGCAATGGAAGCCGCAGTACTGGTGCCCGTTGTGACATTTCTTCATTCTTCAATTCACCATCCAGTCACAGGATGACCAAGCGCTTCAATCGTGCCGTAAATAACGCGCTCCAGCGTCTTAATCCTCGCCAACGACGTGAACCTGAACAGCTGGAGGTACGTCAGCTCATCTTCCTCTTGAATCATCGGCACCTTGCTCATCACCATGCATTACTCGTCTTGTTTCTTAGGAGGGCGGCACCGAGGTTTCGAACGACCCTCAGCCTGCCTAACTTGCATCGACAGCAACGTCGTCAGCTGGACCTCCGGTGCTTCCTGCTCCGGACTCTTTACCTCCTGCGGCAGCTCCTGCGGAACTTCCTGTCGTCGCTGAATCCACGGGGATGGCTCCTGCTGATCCGTCTGCGCCTGCTGATGGTTCTCCGCCACTCACCGAGGATTCGCTGCGCGCCATGCTGGCTGAGAGTACGGAAGCGTCGGTCGATCACAAGATGACGTCAACTATTCCGTACTTTACTGCGATGGCTCGTGATCAAGTGCAGCTCAACGTTGCGCGTCCTCTTCACGGCGATGTCCGCACTCAACGTCGCCTCGAGACTGCAATGGGCTTTAACGAAGTCCTCGCCGCCGTACAGCCTCTTCCCGATGCGCTGTCGGCCTTGCCCGAACGAGTTGTCAGCCTGTGGCGTCAGCTGCGGGCTGCCCAGGCCGAGGCTGCTGCCGCCGTACGCTCGGTGGCACCCGAGATCATGGCTCGGAAGAACGCGGAGGCGTACCTGAAGGTTGCCAACGCCGAAGTCGAAGCTCTTCGCGAGGAAGTCAAGATTAACCGCGAGTCTCCCGCCAGGAACGATGCCATGCTCGCGAGTGTTCAGTCTTCCATGGAGCAACATTCAGAGGACCTGAAGCGTCTGCACTGCGAGGTCCAGGCGCGAAACGCATTTATCGCCACCTTGAACAAGAAGCTGGCTCGCGAACGCGAAGTGTACAAGTCTTCTATTGGCGCGAACACCGAGCAGACTCGTCAGCTTCATCTCCTCTTGGTCAAGCTTTCCAAGGGCAAGTATGTCGACAACGACACTCTCAAGGTCCTCGAAAATCAGCAATCTCGCAACACTTACCTCCTCCAAGTAAACCGTACTATCCGTGCACACGTGAGTCTGGCCGGGATGGATCCGGAGGTCCTGCGTCTGGCTGCTGATGGTACGTTCCACATGTCATTCTTTCCACCGTGAGCTCAGCAACTAACGTTTGCTCACAATCCCTTGTGACAGGTCTCACTGCGGGTGAACTGGATCTGGAAGCTCTGGACTTGGACCAGTGGACGTTGGTTGCCTTGCAACGCATACAGTCTGCTGCCGCGTCTTCGCATGACCCCCAAGCTCTTCCTGCAGCTCTGGTGTCTCCTCGCCCGCTTTCTCGAGCTCTCGATGCTGGGCCTGGACGCCAGATTACGGCCACCTACACTTCGTTGCCGCGCCGTGGCGGTGCATCGTCGGTTGAGCCGTTGCCTCGTTGCCTGGAGCTCGCCCTACAGTGCCTGCTACGTCCACCTTGCCACCGCGGGTTCTCCCGTATCTGGACATGAAGCTCACCAATGCGGGTGCCAAGAAGTGTTTCGAGCGTCTCTTGAGCACGATCATACCGGAACCAGCCGGTGAAGTAATCGTCCGTACGACGTTGGAAGGCCTCCAAGCGTTATTCGACTACTCGAAATCCGATCATTTGTACCAGCAACTCCGGCGGCTATATCCCCTCCAGGCGTGTCTCTTCGATACTCTCAATTTCGACCCAAGCGTCCCTTTCTCCCAGCGTGCCCCAATCAAGACCCGCCTCAAGATGATCTGGGCGAATCTTCGGGGTGACGGCGGCAAGCAGGGCGACCTCGGGTTCGCGTTATGGGAGCGTCTCCACTGGCTTCCGTTAGCTGGTATCGAGCGAGGTCTCGTCGAGGAAGCCAAGAAGGTTGCTCACGACAAGGAGCTCTTGAAGGTACTGAGTGCTCTGTTGAAGAAGCTCTTCAGTGAGCGCGACCGTCGTGCCGATCGTCTCCGCAACAAGTACCGTGAGCAGTACATGGCGTGGAGTCGTGACTCGGTTTTCTCCAGTTCTTTTGATCCGCCGTTCATTTGGCCCGAGCTGCTCTTGGGCCGTCGAAGCCGTGGTATCCTATCGAAAACTTGTCGCGGACCTTACGGACTTCTGACTGGCTTTCTGAAGTTCCGCTCGCCAGTCTTGGCGTACTGGATGGATGAACGCGTCGCACTAGCACCCATACAACACTACGTACTTCCCGTGCCAGTGGAATCCGGAGCTCTTCAACCCACGTGGTACGCGCTTTGTGGATGTGTACCGCAGCGTGGTCGTCAATCCGGCTCTGGCTCCACCTGAACTTTTTCCGACCTGGCGCGATCTGTTTGACTCGCCACCGGTTACACCACGTCCTGCCCTGACTGCTGCTTCTGTTAAAGCTGGTGCCGAGGGCTCGCAGGCTCCGGATGCGGCTCCAGCCGCCGAGGTTCACCTTCCCGACGAAGAGGGGAAGGAGAGTGAAGACTCGACTTCGTTGACACTCTTTGCCGCTGCTGCTAGGCAAATGGAGTCGCTT